GGTAGTAGAATTGTGGAGACAATTCCTGGGACCATCCTAAAGGCAATGCTCTTTCCTTTCCTTCAGGTTTTATTTCTAGTTTATTTAGCATAGAATAATCATTAGCAATCCTAAAACTCATTTAGCATTCGCAGTTTATTTAGCATAGAATACTCTTACTTTGTGGTTAACCTGTGGATAATAAAGGATGCTTTCAGCTGCAAGTAACCAAAAACTGTAACTGAAACATAAAAAGGCTAAATAAGCCATGACAAGAAATCTCGGGATGGGGTGGTTCCGTGGTACCTTAGTTGTGAGCCTGAGGGATATCCTCCTGGGGTCTGACCCCTCCGGTCGTCCTTGCAGCGTTGGCTTTATCCTCCTGTTCTAGGCATCATACCCACATGTGACAACATCCACTGAAAGAAAAGGAAATGTGTTCTCCCATCTGTTGGGGTTGTTTTTGGCATGGGAAACTGCTCAGTGAAATTCTTCAACAGAATTCATCTCACATGTCACTGGCCAGAAACGTCAAGTGACCACCTAGAGCAAGGGGCATGGGACCAGGATGATTTGTTTATGTCAGTTGTGCGTCATCCATGTGAGAGGAGGGTTGAGTACCACCGTGGAATGAGAGGAGGAGTGAGTGGAGGGGAGGCACTCAGCTATGTCCACTACGGTAAATCAAGCTAGAAAGTTACTCCCCTCCCCTGGGATGGCCAGATTCTTGCTGTTGTGCAAATCTAAGCTTCCAGGTGCTGAAGCCAGTGGGAAGACCCTTGTCGGTGTTCTCGCTCCCTTCCAGGGCTCACCTGCACCCTCCCCGCCCACCCCGGGATGCTCCGCTACCTGTCTTTGTGGGCAGGCTGCATCAGAAGGAGCTGCCCTCTGCACTGTGTCCATGCCTGGCTTGCTTTTTCTGAAATCACATCTCCCACTGAATACCGCTTAAAGATTTTGCCAGAAAATAGCTTATTGCCTTAGGTGTTCGGATGATATTTATTTCTCTTCCCTCCTGGAGTGTCTCCCACTCTGTCTCTATTATCAGGTAAAGGCCCACTTTCAGCCCCTTCTGGAGGCCACGTGCGTTGAGCCTGCAGCCTGCGAGCGCTGCTTTCTGCAGCCCTTCCCTTGACCTCCACTTGCGTGTTTACTCTGTACAGTGTGTTGCAGACAGAAGACGCCTAACTTTCCACCTGTCACGTAATAAAGGCTCGACAGTATTTGTTCTCTTATTGCTTTCTAAGGACCCACGTGTTGGCGAGCCTCTTCTCCTACACATAAAATGTACTAGATAATTAACAAGTCTTCTAGGAGACTCGGGTAGTCAACCAGGTTGACGGAGGATGGTCTTACAAGATTATGGAGTACACTGCAAAGTCCGAAAGCAGTAAATCCATATCCACTGATCTAAGCACACTTTCTTGATCGTCTTTTTGCAGTCCGTGTAATGTGAGCTTCCCCGACTAAGTCCCAAACCTTTGATGCAGGTCAATGCGAAGGAAAAGATGAGTCAGATGAGGATTTTTTTAAGATAAAAAAGGAAAAAGCTGGGGCTAGCAGGAATGAAAACTGTGCTGACATCTCAGAGAGGAAAATGAAGGTCACCTCTGACCTTACCAGTTTTCTTCACCCACTAATGAGGAGATGATTAAGAGCCTGGGAGAGAGCAGAGAAATGTGCCTGTCTCCCTCAGATGAAAAGCTGGACAGGGCTGTGTGTCCATTAGCCAAATAAATTGCTATTTAAGGCGAGCAGACTCTGACTTCACAGGCATAGAGTCTGACTGGACTCATATCATTACCTTTGGTAATGAAATGTTTCCCCTGTTGCCTTCATACACAAAATGAACCCTAAATAGTATTAAAGCTCTTAATTCAATATAGATTCTTCTAACGTATCCTTTAAAAGTAAACCTACTCAGGGAAACTAAGATAATTTGTAAGTATTTAGCAAGAAATAGCTGTTGGATCTTTCCAGTATTTCAGTTCAGAGGATTTCTGTATAATTCCAGCCATAAACGATAACGGTTTTGGTTTTGAAGCCTGGGGGAATGTTTGAATGTTGTTGTTTCAAATGGGTACCGCAGTTGATGGTTTACACGTTTGAAATTGCTGGATGACTGGCCAATCTCCACTTCAGTTTGGGTCGGCAACCTGGACAGGGGATAATTTTGTAATACTTGTATAAAACCGAAGTCCATGTTAATCTCCATAGATTGTGCACAGATTAACCGTACTCCTAATAATGACAAGTTTTATTCTTTTTCCTGAACAGGAACAAGTTTAGGTGCCATTTAGATGCCACAGTGCTGGATAACAGAACATACTTATAGGCATAGTTGAGCAAGCCATCTTAGGGAAGACGGAATCTAGGTAAGCCCTGCTTTAAGGGAAAAAAATCAGTATATATTGGTGTATGCAGATAGGTATATCAATAAATATTCTTACTAGGCAAACAGAAAGGAAGTTGTTTTTATCATCCGTTGGTGCATAACAAAGTATGCCAAAACTTAATGGTATCAAACAAACATTTATTTTGCTTGCAGTGTTGTAGGTTAGGAATTTGGAAAGGGTTCAGCTGGGCAGTTTGTCTAATCTGTATGGCTGTTCGCTGAGGTGACTGGAGCTGGAGGACCCACATCCAGGATGGTGTCATCATCCACACATGTCTGGCACCTGGGTCGGGATGGCTGGGACTGTGCGTTGAGGGTCCCGTATGGTCCAGGCAGCTCGCTTTCCATGTGGCCTCCATGTGTGGGTGGCTTGAGCTTCCTCGCAGCATGGCAGTCTCAGGGTAGTCTGACTTCTTACCTGGTGGCCGGCTTCTGTCACAGCAAGTATTGTTAAAAGACTCAAGAAGTAGAAGCTACCTGATTTCCAAGGCCCAAACCAAGAAACAGGCATTTCTAGCATATTCTATTAGTTAAGCAATTTACGAAGGCCCAGACGATTGAGCAGGCAGGAAATTTGACTGCACTTCTTAACATATGGTCATTGTTATTGCAGTACAGGAGTGAGTCAGTGTGTTATGAAAAGATTTTTTAGTTTTCAAAATAATTCATTCCTGCTGCTTTTACAGAATGAACTTCCAAGGACATTGAGAATATGTCATTTAAAAATTGTTCACATCACATCACAACTTACTCGAAATGTATTATTGTACAAAGGAAAGTAGAGATGAACATATCCCGGCTTTGGTCAGTAGCTGAAGCGGCTATTACTATGACTAGAGTTCCTACTTTGCAGAGATGTTTTAAGACCTGGCAATCACTGGGGATGAGGTTGGTTTTTTGTTTTGGGGATTTTTTTTTTCCCAGTCTGACTTCATCTAAAAGTCTTCCAAAAAACTTCTCTGCCAACAACTGACTGCTTCAGAATGAGGTTCTGAATATCAAAATTTGCACTAAGATTTAATTCACCCAGGCCAGTGTTGGGAATCTGAAAGGAACTGTTGCTTGTCACATTCATTATGTGCTTGTCAGGTGGATCTAAGTGGGAAGAAATTCTGTACTTTGAGAATTTCCAAGAGAACATAAAACTATTGTTTCTCATGCTGACTGTACTATTTCTCTGCTGAGCGGTCAGCCCAGGAAAAATCTTTGTGCACTCAGTCTTTCTCAGGCCTTCTACACGCTGTGATGGATGGCGGACCCCAGGGCTGGGGAGTGCAGATGGAGTGTCAGCTCTGCCAAGGCAGCCGGCCAACCTCGGAGGCCCAGATCTATCTGTATCGATATGTTTCTGAAGGGCCGCTTTCTGCAGCGAGGTACGCTGCCTGGAGCTCCCAGCACGCAGCGTGCTCATAATGGCTGTCTAAGTGTCCTCGCAACGCATCAGCTCACCAAAGAGAAACAGACAAAAGAGCAAGTGGATTTTCTCTAAACCCAGCCATACAGGTTCACCATAGGGTCTGCTGAGGCTGATGCCATTTCAACACCAGCATAAATCCTGACATCAATAATAAAATAAACTTCTCTGCCTGCCGTTTTATACAATTGACAGAAACAGAAACTATCCAGTTTCTATTCTGTAGACTAGCTGGTCTTTAAAGTGGCCCAGTTAAGCTTCTCTGTTCCTGCCCTATAGTACAGCACTTGAGATCCTCTCACATCCCTGTTTGTACAATTTCTTTTGGTATCATTAAAAGATAGTATTTACCTGTCTAACTAAAGAGACCTATGAATGTTGGAAAAGCCAGGTTACTTGTTCAAGGTCTTACCACTTGTTTCAATGAGTCAGTTCTGGCAGTGAGGTCCTCCGATTTCTGTTTAGACCATAATAGACTGTGGGCAGTTCCACAGCTGCTGGTCAGTACAGAATGTGGGGAGGGATTCGAACCACAAACTCTGGATTCTGAAATCGTGTCACCTTAGCTCCTAATCAGGGAGGGTTTTGCCACGTCAGTGTGTGTTTCATCAAGCCAACTTGTATTTGGAAAGAGTTATGCCACGAAGAGGAGAGGAAAGGGCTTCAGCCAAGTGGGGAGCTGTTTCTTTCTTAGAAATTCTAAGGGGAAGCAAGAGAGAGAAGTGATAGTAAAAAAAAAAAATTGAGAAACTCACAAAGGCTGAACTTTATAATATTTGTGTAAATGAAGCCACTGACCCTAAGAATATAAAGAAGTATCCTGTGTTGCTAGGGACCACCTGATGTGGAACATCCATAAAGAGAAGCACCTGGCAATGCGCCAGGTTGCTGTTTCCCAGGCGCTGAAGTGAGAATGTCATAAATTTGATAGCATCATACACCAAACATGTAAACGTTTTATTGAACCCTCGCAATGACCCTGCAAAGTAAGAACTAGTATTACCCCCATTTCCAGATAAATACAATGCAGAGAGGGTAAGTGAAGTGCCCAGAATCCCGCACTGATTCCACGCAAGAGTGGAAATGGAGTTCTTCCCCACGCTGCAGAGCTGCCCTTAATCCCCATCGCCAGTGCACTCAGGAAGGGTACCAATCCCTGGGTTCACAGTCAAGTCCTGCCAATCACTAACTGGAACCTTGTGCCCCTTTCAGAAACTTTTCTGAGCCTCTTTTCTCCACTGGAAAATGGAAGTAATTATCATCTCCTCCATGGAGTTATTGTGAAGACTAAATTAAATGATGTTCAAGTGTCATTAGAGTGCCCAATTCGTGGTAGGTACTAACTAAATACTAAACTACTAAAAAAAAAGCTCAAAATCTGAAGGTCTTTGGGGCATTCTACTCGTGAAATATTCTGATTAAGTGTTTAGCAGTTAAAATGGCAGCTCATTCATTCAAGCAAATGATAAATAATAAACAGCTAGTTTTTTTTAAAAAAAAAGTCTGCTGAAATATTTTTAACAAGCTCCTTTATTCAGGGAACCTTCCAAACCTAGAAACTGATTATAAATGGCTTATGGATAAATATCCTAACCCGACTCCTCCCTACCTTTTCCTCCCAACTATTTTTTTGTCCTTTCATGATTTATTGGCCACTAAGTAGTTCAGTGATTTGGCAAAGTTATTTAACAAATTTGAACCAAGTTTCCTTACCTGAAAATAGGTAAAATGTTTCTAAAATAGTGTAATATTTTGAAGAGAAAATGAATTAACATAAAATATGCTGGTGACAGTGGTGAGCACACAAGTGTTGTTCAGTAAACACGAGCTACTACGATTAGCATGCATATAATGATAGCGCTGTGCAAATATTACTTGGAAACGATAATGGAAGTAAAACTCAAATTGTTTCTGTTTTCAGTCGAAGTACAAGAGATAAGTAGGTACAGATAGATCAATTGATAGGTGGATGATAGGTAAACAGTTACTGTGTGTGTGTGTGTGTGTGTGTGTGTATATATATATATATGTCTTGTGTGCACACAACACAGACACACAAGCCCTAGAGAGAGAAGAGGAGAGAACAGAAAGGAGCATGCACTGAGGAGATGTTCTTTGCCTTGTTCCCAGACCACATAGCTCATAGGTACCACTGGTTAAGATGGAAAGTTAGTCCATCCAACTCCAAAGTCCGTGTTTATTTCACTGTATCCTGCTGTGTCCTGTGGGAAGAGGTTGACGAAGAAAATCTTGCATTTAGCTGGATTTTACATATTCATATTTTCTCTCATTACAATCGATAAGCAGGAATCTTTGGTATACTCATACCCAAAACAGCAGTCATGTTTTTAAGGTATCGATAAAGACATTTTTCTCCTCATTACCCAAATGCACATTTTGAAGATTACTTTTCTCATAAGTCTTGCATTAAAATAGCTAAACATGGCAATGGTGGTGACCTCGTCTTTAGGTTGGCTCTGCAAATCAGCTGGCACTGTCACCTAGCACCCTTGTCTGAAATTGAGGCATTTGAAGTGAGTAATTCTTAAAGCCCCTTCCTCTCTGAGTTCCCATAAAGTAAACAGAATCAAAACCCTGCCTCCTTCCACTTTGCCTAGTTAACTCAGAAGTACGGACATACTACAGATTCTTATTTTGCAGAAATATTGCCAATGTTTTTCCATTAAAATTTAGGTGAAACAAAACGATGTTAAAAAACAAATTCATGGGAGTTCACATTATATCGTCTGGTAGTTATGTTACTCTCCGCTGCCCCTGCTGCCTCTTTTTGAATAAGTAGCACGTGCACAGTAATTTTCCTTGTCATGATTCTATGCCTTCTTCATAGTGCATTTTGCCAAAGAAACATTGGACACAAATGAACATTCTCAGGTATCCTAGCAACAGGATGTGATTAATAATACCTCTCGGAGCAGGGCAGATAAAATGCCTGCAAGTGAATGCACACTCAGGACTGGCTACTGAGAAACTGGTAGTGCATGAGGGAAGCTCGATAAGATTCCATGACAGGCTTGATTACACAAGGACAGAGGCAGGTAGAAGAGAGGATCTTTTGGAGATTAGACTATGTCTGACTGTAAAAATGTGGGAGGTATATATGTGTGTATATATATATATATATATATATATATATACTCACATGTACATATATGTAATGCATTGTATATATGCATGTACATGTGTATACCCACTATTTACATTTGTAGACTACGATTCTAAAAATATGGGTGTGTGTGTGTTTGTGTGTATATCTCACATGTACATATATGCAGTGCATTATATATACATGCATATATATGCATATACATACACATATACACGTATGTGTGCACACCCACTATTTATATCTGTGTATAAGCATAAGTGCATATATATGTATGCACAAAATTTTCTGTTCATTAGAAGTGAAGTGAGATACTAAGCTGTGATACAAATGCCCCACTCATGATTAGTGAGACATCACTGGATTGCCATTTATGTGCTTGTGGTTTTAAAACATCAGAAACAATCACGTCGATGAAGAGACTATTTCCGTACTGAAATGTGCTATAAATGGATATATATTTAAGGATTCTCCGTGAAACAATATCAACTCCCAAGTCTAAAATGGCTTTTTAAAAAATCAAGACTCGGTTTTTATAAATAAATCGCCATAAGATGCAGAATTTTAGTGTTCACTTTCTCAGGAGAAAAATGGGACCCTGCAAATTCCATTTTTATGAGATCACGGTCCGCTTTTATTCCTCACAGGTGGAGTGCTCTATCCAGGCTTAAAGGGAAGTGAGCTGCAAACCATACTTTAATGTTTTGTTCTTCAAGTGGAATCTGTGACACAATAAAGCACAACTAGGGCAAAGTGCATGTTCATTATTCTGAAAGCCTCTGTTGTTTTATCACCCACTCTTCTAATGTAATAGTTTTCTAGGTTGTCAGTTGTAATGTAAATACTTGGTAAAAGCTCTGTTCTTGGTTGTACTTGCACTCAGTGTTAACAGCACTAAAATTGATTTCACGTTCTTTAGCATTTGAAGGAGGGCTGGAATAGGGCATAACTCTCTCTGTGCAACCCGCTCCCAAGCATTTGTGTTCCAGGCGCTGTGAGGCGTGAGGAGAGAGAAAGAAGATACACCCCTCGCCCTAAAGGAGGCCACAGTCCAGTTGGGGAGATAAACATGCAGCTAATTATAAACCAAACACTGGAGTTAGCACTGTAGCAAAGGTGCAAATAAAGGGCCAAAGGAGCGTAGAAAGAGGGGTGATTAATTCTGTAGGGAGAGGGGAGGTGGGGGAGGTGGCACAAAGCCTAAGGCTTCACAGAAGCTTCGGCGTGGGAGCTCAGCTCTGAAGGATGAGTAGAGTTTTGATGGATAGGAAGGACAGGACAGGACATTCCAGGAAGCAGAAACGTCACGTACAGGGAGCTGGAGTGAGAGGTGCAATTCCTAGCATCACTGGTGAGTGTTCTGAATGGTAGCAGAAGGCAGGTCATGGCCAGATCTTTCAGGGTCATAAATTTCATATTGAGGAACGTGTATTTTAATCTTTAATTGGGGTCAGACTACAGGGATGGCATAACCATCCCTAAAACCAATGAAATCGGTTAGGAGCCTGTAAAAAATATGGAGCCAGGAAAAAATATGAAGTTTATGAACGAGGGCAGTGGCAGGAAGAAAGGAGGGGTTAGATCTGAGGCTGCGTGAAAGGGAGGAGCCGATGATTCTTAGGTCCCGAGTTTGGGTGCCTGAGCAGATAGGAGGATGGCGCTGAAGATAAGCAGTTTTGGAGGGGAATATAATGGTGTAAGTTAAGGACTTGTGTCGTGAAGCAGAAAACACAAATAGAGATTTCCAGTAGGCCTAAGACCGAAGCAGATTTTGGACCTGGAGACGTAGGTCTCAAGAGTCATCTCTTTCTGTGCAGGTGATGATCACCCAGAGATAAGATCGCCTGTGCTTAGCGAGCTAAAGAGACTGAAAAAGAAACCTAGAGGGTTATCTCCAGTTAAGCAGTTCAATCTCCGTGTCCCTTGATCAATATAAGATTGTCTTACTTACCTAGTGTTAATGTTTCTCATTTGAGGTTTAGTGTGTATGTAACTAAGAACAGAAATGTAAGTCGATTCCCATAACAGAAGTAATAGCATAATAAAGCTAAGACACATTTCTGTATCCCTCCACAGTTTACAGAGCCCTTTCATGTAACACGGGGGCAGAGAACGGCTTGAAATCTCAGTGAAAAAGACATTATCAGCAACGCCTTCCAGCCTCCCTTCTGAAACCTTGAACCCCAGTATTTTGTGTGAGTTTCCTCCATTTCTTGGTGGCTCTGCATGTGGATGTATTTAAGCCTCAGGACAATCCAGATAAGCAGGCTCTGATCCCCGCTTTCCAGATGAGAAAGTCAGGGAGACAGACTGATTTGCCACAGCTAACATGGCTGTAGGTATATTCTGTTGAGATAAATTAACCTAACCTTTCATAAAAAAATCATTCCATAAGTATTATTGCTATATAACAGTTTACCCAAAACTTGGCAGCTGAGAACAATGGTAAACATTTACCATCACATACAGTTTCTCTGGGAAAGTCTGGAGTAGCTAAGT